AAATTCAAAAAAACTCAAAAAATAAGCGGTATTAAAATTTAATTAAAAAAGCGGGTTTAAAAGCGGAATGCGCGTGTGCTGCGGCGCAGCAGAAACGCCGTCTATACGCGGAATATGCGGCTTTTTTTATTAAAGGCCCATCTGGAAAAATCTTGAATTTTTTTACAGGATTTCCCCAAAATTTACAAGGTTTCCCATCTGGGAAATCATGTCACGGATGATGTGACTGTTCCAGGGATCCAATAATGAAGGAGAAAATTTGATTACCTTGATGAATAATAAGGTAACCAAAGCAATTGAAAGGAATTTGGAGGTGAATCTTAGAAGCTTCATTATTGCTGCTTTATAGCAAAAGTTACAGTAGAATGGTATGGAGACAGTGTGTTCAGAATGTTTGACTGGAGCTTTTATGTTGAGCAAGAAAACAATCTTCACCTGAGTGTGTCACATTTTAATCATACTTGAAAACTGAACATTTCCAGCTCCAATTCTGTAAAGTTTGATCAAAGTTGCTGGGAATGTTGCAAGAGAAGCTGTCTTCCCTCACAATCTGCTAACTTCTATGTCTGAGCAGGTCGTTCTTTCAGCATACATGAAAAGACAGCTGGAAAGCCATAAGTTTCATCAATTTCAATTACTCTTGTATGAGAACATGTCTTCCCTGATCAGCTTATCACATGGTGCCATACAGACTTTGAAACCATGTGAAGTCAATTGCTACCTACTCTTTGTAAAATCCTGGACATGTATCACTCATGTACAATTCAAGAAAACACATTAATTTATGACAACTTGATGCCTCAATGAGCAACAAGATATAGAACGCACTTGAAAAGAACAGAGCAGTTAATCTTGGGAGATTCATGTTTGGTGCTTGTAAATAAGAGTTGTACTTGAGTGAAGTGGAGGTACTTTGTTCAGATGATGTTGGGATTTTGTGTACATGTTAAACTTAATGTTTGTGCCAGCAAGTCACCTTTTAATCCCACTTGAAATCATAAAACAGGCATCTTGAATTTGGTAAGTTTGGTCAAGGTTGATTCAAAACTTGTAAGAAAACCTGTCTTTCTTCAGTCTTGGCTTGTGTTCCTGTCTGAGCAAGCCGTTCCTTCATGAAACTCATGTAAAAGACCAGTTGGAAATTGTGGTTGAAGTTTATTTCAATTTTGTACAAGAACATATCTGTCCCAAGTCTTTGTCATCAAGGGAATCAGCCTACAGATTGTGAAATCATGCAAAATCAACATTTTGATTCAATCAAATTGCCACAACTCATCTTCCTCCTTTGGCACTGCACATGAGTATTCAAGAGTCGTTTGTGGATAATAATAATAGGAATATGTACAATTGATGATGGGAAGGGATAATCTCATCATTATCACAATCATTTCACTTCCCAATATTACTGGCAGATGTGACAGGATTCAAATCTGGGAGTTGCTTTTCATCCCAAAGAAATTGTTCATTTGAAATGCTGAGCCTGATTGGACGGCTTGACAGCAACTAGAAACTACTGTAGAGATCGTTCGTTCGTACTCGGGTACCTGTTGGTACCTAGGTACCTGTTGAATTTCTTCAAAAAATAGGTACCAAGTACCGCACCAGGCACCTCCCGGCGGGTACTGGCGGTACTTTTGGCGGGTACCGCGGGTACCTCCCCTCTCTTTTTAACCTAGGTTCACTTTCATATTACCAAGTCACTTTTTTATTATTATTTTTTCATATTTATTGTAAAATGTCAGTCCCAAGTCACTTTTTCCATTCTTTCATATTTATTGTGAAATGTTGACAACAAATTGGAAGAATCCTACTTTGTTATTATATTTTCATATTTATTGAAAATATCATTCCCAAGTCACTGTTTTCCTTTTGTCATATTTGTTGTAAGACATCTTAAACTAATTGGAAGAACCTTACTTCATTATTATTATTATTTTCATATTTATTGTAAAATATTACTCAAGTCACTTTTTTGGCATTTTTTTCATATTTGTTGTCGAGTATCTACATCTAATGGGAAGAATCTTGCCTTTTTTCATATTTATTGTAAAAAATCAATCCCAAGTCAATTTTTTCATTTGTTCACATTTAATAATTTATTTTAAAGCTTAAACTGCCTACAAATTATATCTAATTAGATTATTAGAAGAATCTTCATCATTGTCCAAAACTATCACCTTCCTTTTTGATTTTTGGTTAGACTTCTTGTTATCCTTGAGTCCCTGTTTCCATGTAGCCAAGGTACCTTCTTGGAGTTCTTGGAGTAGAAGGCCACTGTCATTTTGGTAGGGAAGTGAGGGGGTACCTGTAGCGGTACCTAGGTACCTGTTCAATTTTTCACAAAAATAGGTACCAAGTACCGCACCTGGCACCTCCCGACGGGTGCGGGGCGGGTGTGAAGGGTACCCTCCAAGCGGTACTAGGTACCTAGCAAAGGGTACCGCGGAACGATCTCTAAACTACTGCATGTAGCCCAAGTAAAACAGACACTTTGGGAGGAATTACTCTGAGCAGTCTTTTTATAAGCTAGTGCATCAATTCGTGTTTACAGAAAAAGAAAAAAGTAATAGGGCTTCCTTATGGAAAAGGTAATTGACAAAAATATCCTACCAATTTCTTTTAGCTGAATATCTTCTTGCAAGGAATCAATTCAGATTTCAGATTAAAAAAGACACTGAGTTCATGATTTTACCCAATTTGCTCATACATTTTACCAAAAAACCAAAGCATATATCAATAAATTCAGAAAGATTATATTTGAATTAATCTTGGAAAAATCATCAGATAAAATACTATCTAAAGCAGGATTTGTAAATCTAAATGTTGGAAATATCAAAATAGAAAGAGAACAAGAGACACAAAAAATGTGAGATGGTCTTTCAAATTCCATGAATGGGAATCAGAAATCTCTTTCTTCATAATTTCAAATTCTTGGCATTTTTCAATGATGAAATTGAAGTATCTGTTTAAGAAGAGTTGTATTTTTAACTGTGAGGGGCAAGAGAAAACTGGATTGACCGGTGAGGCATGAAACCAAATCTGTCTCTCAAAAATACTCTGTCAACTTCATCCAAACTCTCAAAAGAATGCTCCAATTGACCGATTACATTTTGGAAGAGAGTATTGTGTTGTTCTGGGTTTTGGATCAATTGAGACAGGTCACTTAAGTTTATCATTCCCCTAATTTTATTCATTAACCCTTTAAACCTGTTAATTTCCCTTGAGGTGGCCAGTCATGGAATCATTAATTCTTGGAACAGTACCCAACAAACATGATAGTTACATGTAACTCACTCAGGGGTGTGTGGCACAAATAATGGACTTCCTTGTCCATTGACTTGATAGGCTGTTGGGTCCTTGAAAACGTTATATTACAGGCATCAAAATAGATGTAGTGGTCAGCTTTAATGACACCCCTGATGTTCTGTACCAGTTGAACTTCACATACCTCCTTGTATTTAAATTTCCAAGGAGCATATTCACTTCTGCAAATAGGACATGTACCTTTGGTTTGAAGCCAGTTATCTGCACAGGCACGATGAAAGGAGTGACCACATGGTTCCAAAGTTCCAATTGGCCCTTTCTCTTTGTTATTGTGCAGGTCATCTAGACAAACCACACAAGTCTTTTCAACCCATCATCCAGGTATCCAATTTCAAAGCAATCAAAAATAAAAAAAAGAGAGAATCAGTCTGAAGTTGAGGAAATTAGCTGCACAGGGGTTGCAGATGGACTTACTGTCTCTGAAGAACTGAAACTGGGCTCGCCAGTCACCTCAATGGCTTTACCCTCAGATTCAGACACATTCTCCAACCCACTGCTTGATCCAGGAGGAAAAGCTGCTTCTTGTGAAACCTATGAGGAGAAGAGAATAAAATTTATTCAGAGACTGAATTCTACACTGTTCCAGGGATCCAATCATGAAGGAGAACATTTGATTACCTTGATGAATAATAAGGTAACCAAAGCAATTGAAAGGAATTTGGAGGTGAATCTTAGGAGCTTCATTGTTGCTGCTTTCTAGCAAAAGTTAAAGTAGAATGGTATGGATAAAAAGGGTTCAGAGAATTCAACTCAGGTGTTTATGTTGAGCAAGAGAACAATATTCATTTCAGGGCACCACCTTTTCAACCCACTTGAAACCTGAACATCGCCAGCTCCACTCCTGTAAAGTTTGATCAAAGTTGATGGGAATGTTGCAAGAGAAGCTGTCTTCCCTCAGAATCTGCTCACTTCTATGCCTGAGCAAGTCGTTCTTTCATCGTACATGAGAAGACAGCTGTAAAGTCTTCAGTTTGATCAAGGTCAATTACTCTTGTATACAAACACGTCTGCCCTGATCAGCTTATCACATGTTGGAAGTTGGTCTACAGAATTTTAAACCGTGTGAAGTCAATTGCTACCTACTCTTTGTAAAATCCTGGACATGTATCATTCAAGAACAAGTAATAAATAAGTTTTTCACTAGGTGATACAATTCAACACAACAGATGAATTGATCACAGCTTGATGCCTTGATTAGCAACAAGATAAAGCAATCACTTGAAGAGAATATAGAGGTTAATCTTGGGAGCTTCATGTTTGGTGCTTGTGAATAATAGTTGTACTTGAGTGGAGTACATTGTTCAGATGATCTTGGGCTTTTGTGTACCTGTTGAATTTGATTTTGGTCCCAGCAAGTCACCTTCTGATCCCATTTGAAACTGTGACACAGGAAGCATGAATTCTGTAAGTTTGGTCAAGCTTGATTTAAACCTTGTAAGAAAACCTGTCTTTCTTCAGTCTTGGCTTGATTCCATGTCTGAGAAAGTCGTTCCTTCATCAAACTAATGTAAAGACCAGCTGCAAATTGTGGTTGAAGATGTTTTCAATAGGGGGTATCAAATATAGCCAAATCCACCATTAATTAATTGACTGGTTTGAAAAAATCCACCATTTTTTAAACATGTTGGTTATCCATTTAACCCCTTTTGGGGCCCATTTATGCAAAAAAACGTTTTTGGAAAAGTCACTGGTTTCTGATGGTGCATTGCCCATATTTGATACCCCCTAATGTTGCATAATAACATAGCTGTCCTCATTCTTGGTCATCATGGAAAACAGCCTACAGATTGTGAAAACATGTAAAATCAACCCCTTGCTTCAACTGCATTGTCACAAATTGTCCTTCTCCATTGGCACTGCAGATGAGTCAGAGTATTCAAGAGCAATTCATGGATAATAATGGGAATATGTAAAATTGATCATGGGAGTTGATAAACTCATCAATATCACAATCATTTCTCCTTCAAACATTATTGGCAGATGTGAGAATATTCAATTATGAGAGTTGCTTTTCACCCCAAACCAATTAGAGATTTGGCATGCTGAGCCTGAGCCTGATTCTAAGGCTTAACAGCAACTGGAAAGTCCTGCATTTAGCTTAACTAAAGGAAGACACGTGGGAGGGATTTCCCTCAGCAATCTGGTTATCAGCAGCTCTTGCATCAATTCCCTTTACAGGAAAAGAAAGCATGGGTATTAGTGTTTCATTTTGAAAAAGGTAATTGACAGGAATATCCTACCAATTTATTTTAGCTGTATAGCTTCTTGCAAGGAATCAACTCAGATGCCAGAGTAAAAAAGAAACTGATTTTATGATTTTACCAAATTTTCCCATAAGTTTTACCAAAAACCCAAATCACATTTCAATAAATTCAGACAGAGTATATCTCACTTAGCAGTGGAAATGTAATTTGGGAAAAAATATCTCAAGCAGGCTTTGTAAATCTGGATGCTTAAAAATATAAAACTAGAAAGAGACAAAGGGAAAGAAAAAAACATGAGATGGTCTGTGAATGCATGGAAATCAGGAAGAAAAGAAGTCTGAGTTTTTATTTTTCTTTGTATTTTCAAATTCCTGGAATTTATTAATGATGACTTTGGAATGTATGTTTAAGAATGGCTGCATTTTTAACTATAAGGGGCAAGGGGAAACCAGATTTATTGGTAAGGCAAGACAATGACCCTGTCTCTCACAATCCGTCTTTCAACTTCATCCATACTCCCATCGTCTAATCGGTGTGGTTCACCAAGTAGATATTGAAATACAGGATGACGTTTTTCTGGGGCTTTGTAAATTTGAGACAGGATTGTTGATACTAAATTATCCATAAACCTATTCTTTATTCTTTGTAACATGCCAATAAACCTTGAGGTGGCCAGTAATAGAATCATTAATTCTCAGCACAGTACCCAACAAACAGGGTAAGTTTTATGTAACTCACCCAGGGTTGGGTGGCACTGATTCAATTGATGGGCTTTCTTCTTGTGGATTGACATGATGAATTGTTGGGTCCTTGAAAAAGTCATATCAAAATTTCAAGCAACACAAGAAAAGTAGTGGTCAGCTTTAATGAAAGCTCTGATGATTTTTACCGGTCCAAATTCACTTACCTCCTTGTATTTAAATTCCCTAGGACCATATTCACTTCTGCAAATAGGACATGTACCTTTGGTTTGAAGCCAGTTATCTGCACAGGCACGATGAAAGGAGTGACCACATGGTTCCAAAGTTCCAATTGGCCCTTTCTCTTTGTTATTGTGCAGGTCATCTAGACAAACTGAACAAGTCTTTTCAACACATCATCCAGGTACCCAATTCAAAGGTAATCAAAAAGAAATAAAGAAATGATCAGTCTGAAGTTGAGGAAATCAGATGCACAGGGGTTTCAGATTCACTTACTGTCTCTGAAGAACTGAAACTGGGCTCGCCAGTCACCTCAATGGCTTTACCCTCAGATTCAGACACATTGTCCACCCCACTGCTTGATCTAGGAGGAATAGCTGCTTCTTGTGAAACCTATGAGGAGAAAGGAATCAAATTTATTTCAGAGACTGAATTCTACACTGTTCCAGGGATCCAATAATGAAGGAGAAAATTTGATTACCTTGATGAATAATAAGGTAACCAAAGCAATTGAAAGGAATTTGGAGGTGAATCTTAGAAGCTTCATTATTGATGCTCTATAGCAAAAGTTACAGTAGAATGGTATGGAGACAGTGTGTTCAGAGGGTTCAACTCGGGCTTTTATGTTGAGCAAGAGAACAATCTTCACCTGAGTGTGTCACATTTTAATAATACTTGAAAACTGAACATTTCCAGCTCCAATTCTGTAAAGTTTGATCAAAGTTGATGAGAATATTGCAAGAGAAGCTGTCTTCCCTCAGAATCTGCTAACTTCTATGTCTGAGCAGGTCGTTCTTTCAGCATACATGAAAAGACAGCTGGAAAGCCATAAGTTTCATCAATTTCAATTAATCTTGTATGAGAACATGTCTTCCCTGATCAGCTTATCACATGGTGCCATACAGACTTTGAAACCATGTGAAGTCAATTGCTACCTACTCTTTGTAAAATCCTGGACATGTATCACTCATGTACAATTCACCAAAACACATCAATTTATGACAACTTGATGCCTCAATGAGCAACAAGATATAGAACGCACTTGAAAAGAACAGAGCAGTTAATCTTGGGAGATTCATGTTTGGAGCTTGTAAATAAGAGTTGTACTTGAGTGAAGTGGAGGTACTTTGTTCAGATGATGTTGGGATTTTGTGTACATGTTAAACTTAATGTTTGTGCCAGCAAGTCACCTTTTAATCCCACTTGAAATCATAACACAGGCAGCTGGAATTTGGTAAGTTTGGTCAAGGTTGATTCAAAACTTGTAAGAAAACCTGTCTTTCTTCAGTCTTGGCTTGTGTTCCTGTCTGAGCAAGCCGTTCCTTCATGAAACTCATGTAAAAGACCAGCTGGAAATTGTGGTTGAAGTTTATTTCAATTTTGTACAAGAACATATCTGTCCCAAGTCTTTGTCATCAAGGGAATCAGCCTACAGATTGTGAAATCATGCAAAATCAACATTTTGATTCAATCAAATTGCCACAGCTCACCTTCCTCTGTTGGCACTGCACATGAGTATTCAAGATCCATTTGTGGATAATAATAGGAATATGTGCAATTGATCATGGGAGGGGATAATATCATATATATCACAATCATTTCTCTTCCCAATATTCCTGGCAGATGTGACAAGATTCAACTCTGGGATTTCCTTTTCATCCCAAAACAATTGGTCATTTGGAATGCTCAGTCTGAGCCTGATTGCAAGGATTGACAGCAACTAGAAACTACTGCATTTATCCCAAGTAAAACAAGCTCATTGGGATGGATTCCTCTCAGAAATCTGGTTATAAGCAGCTAGTGCATCAATTCACCTTTACAGAAAATGAAAAAAGTAGCAGGTTTTCCTTCTAGTAAAGGTAATTGACAATAATATCCTACCAATTTATTTTGGCTGTATAGCTTCTTGCAAGCAGTCAATTCAGGATTCAGATTTCAGAGTAAAAAAGACATTGATTTTATGATTTTACCAAATCTTCTCATAATTTTTTTCCAAAAGCCCAAAGCATATATCACCAAATTCAGACAGAGTATAATTGAATTAATCTTGAAAAAATAGTGTGAGAAAAAATTATCTCAAGCATGCTTTGTAAATCTGAATGCTGAAAAATATCAAACTAGAAAGAGACAAAGAGAAACAAGAATCAAGAGATGGTCTTTGAATGCATGGAAATCAAACAAAAAAGATGTCTAAATGTTTCTTTTTCTTTGTATTTTCCAATTCCTGGCATTTGTTAATTATGACTTTGAGACATATGTTTAAGAATACTTGCATTTTTAGCTATGAGGGGCAAGGGGAAACCATATTGATCAATGAGGCATTGGATTGCCACTGTGGATCATAAGCTGTCTGTCAACTTCATCCAAACTCTCAAACCAACTGACCAGCTCATGCCCTATATATTGAAATAGATGATTGCGTTGTTCTGGCCTTTGGTTGAATTGTTGCAGGAGCATTGATGCTACCCTTTCCGCAATATCATACCTTGAAATTTCAAGCCTGCTGAAATCCCTTGAGGCCGCCAGTAATGGAATCATTAATTCTCAGAACATCACTCAGCAAACAGGATAAGTTTCATGCAACTCACTCGTTGTTGGGTGATTCAATTTCAAATGATGGGCTTTCTTGTGGATTGACATGATAAATGGTTGGGTCCTTGAAAAAGTCATATTAAAATTTCAAGCAATACAAGAAAAGTAGTGGTCAGCTTTAATGACACCTCTGATGTTCTGGTCCAGTTGAAAATCACATGCCTCCTTGTATTTAAATTCCCTAAGCCCGTATTCACTTCTGCAAAGAGGACATGTACCTTTGGTTCGAAGCCAGTTATCTGCACATGCACGATGAAAGGAGTGACCACACGGTTCCAAAGTTCCAATTGGCCCTTTCTCTTTGTTATTGTGCAGGTCATCTAGACAAACCAAACAAGTCTTTTCAACCCATCATCCAGGTACCCAATTTGAAGCCAATCAAAAAGAAAGAAAGAGAGAATCAGTCTGAAGTTAGAAAGATTAGCTGCACAGGGGTTGCAGATGGACTTACTGTCTCTGAAGAACTGAAACTGGGCTCGCCAGTCACCTCGATGGCTTTACCCTCAGATTCAGACACATTCTTCACCCCACTGCTTGATCCAGGAGGAAAAGCTGCTTCTTGTGAAACCTATGAGGAGAAAGGAATCAAATTTATTTCAGAGACTGAATTCTACACTTTTCCAGGGATCCAATCATGAAGGAGAACATTTGATTACCTTGATGAATAATAAGCTAACCAAAGCAATTGAAAGGAATTTGGAGGTGAATCTTAGAAGCTTCATGGTTGCTGCTTTCTAGCAAAAGTTAAAGTAGAATGGTATGGATAAAAAGGGTTCGGAGAATTCAACTCGGGCTTTTATGTTGAGCAAGAGAACAATCTTCATTTCAGGGCACCACCTTTTCAACCCACTTGAAACCTGAACATCGCCAGCTCCACTCCTGTAAAGTTTGATCAAAGTTGATGGGAATGTTGCAAGAGAAGCTGTCTTCCCTCAGAATCTGCTCACTTCTATGCCTGAGCAAGTCGTTCTTTCATTATACATGAGAAGACAGCTGTAGAGTCTTCAGTTCGATCAAGGTCGATTACTCTTGTATAAGAACACGTCTGCCCTGATCAGCTTTTCACATCTTGTAAGTTGGTTTACAAACTGTGAAACCATGTGAAATCAATTCCTTCATATTCATTGTAAAAGCCTGGACGTGTGACATTCAAGAGCAAGTGATAAATAAGTTTTTACAAGGTAATACAATTTAACAAATTAACATATAAATTGATTGCAACAACGACGTTGGAAATAAAACAGAATTGTTTTGACCGAACTTTCAGGCATATTTTTTTTGTGGTTCTTCGTTCAAACCATGCACGAATGCGTTAATACCGTACTCAATATGTCAACCGGTACTGCTGTTGATAGTATAGACGAACGTGACAAGGTGGTTGTATCTCATAGAGCGCCTTTTGATCAAGATCGAGTTCTGGAAGTTGATTCTCATCCCAGACGGATTGGTAGGTAGCTTTAGTACGCTCAGTCTGGGCCAAACGCCAACGGAATTGGTGCAGGCGGGAGGCCATTTGCAAGGCCTCTAGCTGCTCTTTGGCTGAGTCCAGAGACATTGGTTCTCTCAGCCTTTCGAAGGAGTCCAGAATGATGTGTTTGGTCCAGTCTGTGACCTGTCGAGTCGACACGACTTGTTCGTTGAATGTTTTGATTCGAGACAACGTGCGAGGTGGTTCGGGCAATTGGCTGCGTTGTTGGATTGGGGCGAGGATCTGACTTCGAAGACGCTTCGATTGGCTCGGGAATCCGCTATCGCTAATTAGTCGATATCCCGCTGGAGTCTTCTCGAGTAACTTTTCATAAAACCCTTCTACCGATCGGCTGCCATCGTCCCGTCCTCCGGGTATCATCAAGACCACATCGAGTATAGTTCCATCGGGCGCAAATGTGAAGATATTACGGTAATAGTATCTGTCGGCTCGTTCGTTATAGTATGTCTCCTCTACGCTGTTGGGCCGGACTGATTTGAGATAATGGATCGGATACATCATAAACCAAGTAATTATCTACTTACTCATATTCCCCCGGTATGCTGATCGGCAGGTTGAAACCGACCGAAAACCCGAAAGCTTTTTTGAGTTCAGGATATTTTTGTTCGATCGACATGCTATATTCGTGGAAGATTTCTTCTCTAGTCGGCCAACGGATTCTAGCGCTTGGATGGTGTTTGAGGACGGCGAGGAGTGAGTTGATGCCCCTTCTGAGGGATTGAGCATAGGCCCGGGGCGAGATTGCAAATAGTCGTTCGAGAGTGGAGTCGTGCATTGTTGAGCAGAGCCAGTGTAAGACCAAGCCGAGTGATCCAGCCGGATCGTCTGGATCCATCTGGGCCTCGCCCTCTGGGACTGCATGGTCTGCCCATGGGATCGGTTCTTCATACCAGCGTGCCGAGAAGGGGATGAGCAGCTCCTCGAAGGTTCGTACATCAACCCCCATCGTTCTGATGTATTCTCGGTCGTCGCGATCCTCATAGAGCCTGGCCCAAGCGCATCTGTTATCACATTCGGTACTGTGGAACACAGCCACATCATCTTCGCTGGTGACCGGGCTGTTGTCTTCACTGCTGACCGGACTATCTTCAGGACCGAAGAGCGCCGAGGCCAAGGTGGCCATGAGCGCCTCTAACTCTGCTCCATTTTCGTATCGTGCTTGCTCGACTGACATGGTTGTTCGAAACGGTTGATTTGGGTTGAAGAGTGTGCAGAAGGGCTATCAAGGATTCTCCTGTTGACCTGCAATCCATTTCGAAGCTTACTTACATACCACCCCACCGGAGACTACCGAGACCCCCGCCCCACCCCCGTTTGCCTGAGAGATGAGCCGGCCAAGCGGGCATCGCTTCTTATGTAGCTCAGCTTGTCCCCCGAACCCTATAGTAGTGTGTCGAATTACCCGCTGGACTGGGGCTTCCCGCCATCCCCACGTTTGACCGATTTCCCCCGTGGGGATGATCTTGAACAACCCGGTCATGCTGCCGAATACTGATATGTAGTCAAGACCACAACCGCTTGCTATTCCCGATGGCGCTTGATTATGTGACAATGTATAGTTCGGTAAAGATCGAGCGGAAGCCCAACGTCTGAGTCTTCGTTCATGCAGTTCGGTGGTGTAAAGCGGACTGGAAAATTTCTTTCGAATACTAGGCTTTGGGTTAATCATGATTGTCGTTCCTCGACAGATCCTGATACATATTCTGCTGTGGGTTCGGTCATAAGACTTCCTTAATCCCCCTAATGGCGGTGAGTCCCTCCATCACATCCTTCAGATATTTTCTTGGGCCGGTGCAGCAAGCGGGGCCATAGATTGGCAGATGTCCCAGTTCCAATCTGCTCGATACTTATCAATCAGACTGGGGCGCAAAATGACAGTGTTCTTTTTGGTATCCTCCAATCATATCTTCTATTTCTGCCCTCGGTCATTCGACCATCGGCGTTGCGCATCTTTCGATCCAGTAATTATTCTCGCAGAAATCGATCACGAAGGGTAAAGCTAGGGTGGATAGATATTGTGTAAGCTGAATAGGGACATCCTCATGCGAAGGATCGGTACCAACCACCACCTCGAAAGGGTGCTCAGCTCAGATGATGGTCGATGATGAGCTAGTCAGGGCTCGCAGTCTAGTCTGATCTGGTTTCTCCTTATAGGCTTAAAGAGGGTGATAAGCTGTTCTCGAATGTCGCTTTGTAGCCTTTTTTGTGGATGGCTCTTTGGAAGCCCTCTAGAGAAGGCTTGTCGATGATGGCTGGTTTGTTCAGCCTGCAGCAGACGACTGCAAGTCTGCAAACCACATCGACTGAACGAGCTCAACAAGGCAAGCTGGACTGTAGCTTGTACCTGCTTATCTGGTTCACTCTTGGTATGGGAGAGTTCCCTGACTGGTGTTAGTCCAAAATACCAACTGACACCCTTATAAGGCCTCATCCTTCTAATTCCTCTCAGTGGTATCAATGCTCAAATAATTCGCATTTCCTCTCGACCTGAACCCATTTTCTTCTCCTTTCTTTTCATCTTCATCTTCACTAAAACCAAATGGCCGACCAGCCCGCACGGCCAACACACTCGACCCTTTTCGGTGGAGGATCCGCTCCGCCAGCAAGCGGGCAGACAATCCAGTCCGGTAGAGCCAGAAGTTTCGAGCAGGCCGAGAAGCACATTCCCGGAGAGAGCGCGTCTGGCACATCGCCAGCAAATGATCCTACTGATGAGAAGGCCACTCAGAGGCTCAAGCATTCATCAGATACAGTACCTCCTACAACACATCTTCCAAAGGGAGAGGAGGAGAAGGCGCTGTTGAGAAAAATTGATAGACACATGTAAGAACCATCATAAATCAGATGGTACATATATCAGATTGATAATGGGTTTCTTTACCAACCAAATTCAACAGGTTCCCTTGTTTGTGTCTCTTGTACATGCTGAATCGTAAGTGATAATTCATTTTAAAAAACTGATTGATAAAGGCTAAATTCATTGTTTTGCTTGATAGATTTGGATCGAACAAGTGTTAGTACTACTCGAGGGGTTTTTTAACAAAATCATTTGCAACAATGTTGAGTTACATGGAATTTTCAATCAAAGAGACTTATAATTTGTTTCATTTTTTTTGAATATCTTGGGACAGATTGCAAATGCACGAGTTGGAGGGATGGAAGTGGATCTTAACTTGAGTTCGACGGACTACTCGACGATTGTCCTGATATTTTTTGTTGGATATCTGTATGTTCCAACTGAATTTGTCTAAACTTGAGATGGACAAGAAAAGGGTGGAAAGCTGAAGAGCTGACACCCAATCCTTATTTCGAACAGCTCGGCGGAGATTCCTTCAAATATGCTCCTCTCTCATATGCGCCCCTCTCTGTTTTTACCTGGACTCACTTTCCTCTGGGGCATTGTGGTGACGCTTATCAGTCTGGTAAAAAATAAAGAAAGTCTGATCGTCGCGAGGCTATTCTTAGGATTTGTAGAGTATGTATTGATGTTTATCTTCTTAATGATATAATCTATCACTCCTTGCTAACCAAATCTTTGCAAACCTTCCCCCAAAAGATCTGGCTTTTTCCCAGGAGTTGTGAGTAGACAGAAGATCATGAATGGAACAAAGTCGCAATAGTTAACCAACAAGACCTTCTACTCTAGCTCCTTGTTCTGTCATCTTGGTACCGCAAAGCAGAGCTGGCAAAGCGTATCGGTATCCTATACAGTGGTGGTATCCTCTCGGGTGCATTTGGTCAGTGCATTCTCTAGTTTAAACTCCTGCTGGATCTCACGGCTTACCAGCTATAGTCCGTAGGTGGTTTGATTTCCGGTGGGGTTATCGAGGGATTAGAGGGTGTTGGCGGGATTCGAGGGTGGAGGTGGCTATTTATCAGTGAGTGAACCTTCTCCTGATTGCTGCAATGTCAGCTCAAAACAAGTCAGCTGAACAAAATTCATGTCATTTTTTTACTTCATCGCACTCAGTTGAAGGACTCATCACGGTTTCAGCATCGGTGGTCGTCGTCTTCTTCTTACCTGATTGGCCATCCGATACGAAGTGGCTCTCGGAAGAGGAGAAGAAATTGGCGGTCTTGCGGCTGGAAATCGACCAGGTCGAACATGGTGCTTCTTCACCTGATTCAACCAAGCTCAGTCATCGGCAGGCCCTGGCGGCTGCTGGAAAGGATTGGAGAACGTATCTCTTCTGCTTTATGTGTAAATAGTTTCTCCTTCCCCGAAATAGAAACACGCGGTCATCTTGTGAAGGATTCAACTGACTTTTCAACTTGAATTCTACTCCTGAAAATCAAAAACAGATATCATGATTCTCAGTTCTCAAACCATTCTGTACTTCATTCCTAGTATTGTGGTCTCATTAGGCTACCAGGGTCAAGAGGCCCAATTCTTGACTATCCCGCCATACGTAGTCGCGTGCGCGTTCGCCCTTAGTGTCTCGTTCTCGGCGGATCATTTTAAAGAGCAGATGTTTCATGTGGCCCTCCCGATCGGCTTTTCTGGACTACTCTATGCACTCTGCCTTGCCATCAGCGAGCCAAAAGCCCGATATGCACTAGTCTGGTAAGCTGCTACTCACATAACCAAAAAAAAAAAAAGTTATTCCTTAACAGGCTTTCACGCTGACCCAACTTCTTGCATTTCTCTAGCCTGGCTTTTGGCGGTACCTTCGGAGCGTTACCTGTCGCATTGGCTTGGGTGTCCAGTGTCGCCGGTTCGCAGAAGCAGAAAAGAGCAATCACTCTGGCCATTGTCAACACAGGTCAGTTCATCATGCAACCCTACAAAGTATTCAACGAGAGTGTCCATTGACGAAAGTACCATCTTCTTCTGAATTTCTCATGAATGAACCGTTACAGTCGGCAACTCGTCTAACTTTTACGGAAGCTTCCTTTGGCCCAAATCACAAGGTCCTGAGTTCGTGCTCGGATTCGCAATGGCTACTGCGTTCGGCTTCAGTTGTGCGCTTTCTGCTGTGCTTGCTAAAGTCCTCTTGTATCGCTTTCCTCGCGAAGAACTATTGGTTGAACCCGGAAAACCTTTGCCGGCCAAGGATGATTCACTAGCACTCAAAAACTCAGCTTGTAATATATAGATTTGTAATGTTTTACAATTCCTCAAAAATCTGCAGTGGATCTATCATCCATCGGTTGTCTTGTATGTGTTGGCTCAATTTGGCTCACGAAGAACCAATTGCAGAATTCTTTGGAAATCCATTTCTCTCCCGGCTGATCATATTGATACTCAAAAAAAAAAAAAAAATCTTCATGATTTCAACACAGATTCCATCTGCTTTATCTCAGCAAGATTCAAAGCACTTGACACATTCTGATTGCGAGAAATGTGTGGTCTGTTTTTCCAGCTGGAAAAATAAAACTCTCTTCGCGTGTTTTTCTTCTTCTTATGTTGTGGATTTTGTTTGACTTGTTTATCTATCCAAATTCTTGATATTCGAGAGAAACAGTTCCCATATGTATACTGGTTGAATACAAATGTCGATGGCTCTTCAGGATAACAAGGTATCGCGGCTGCGATTTTATGGACCCGAATAATAGGTACAACCTGCACACCCTGTTGAATGAAAAAAAGTCAGATGATTTAGTGAGCCAATGTTTTGCTTGAGAGTGGAAAAGTGTTTATGAAAACTTACAAGGCCTCTTGTGGTTGTTGTCGGAGTTTTGGTGCCAATAACATAAGTAGGAGTGTGGTCCAGAAATGCCATTGAGTTCCTTACCGATGACCCCTGTAAGTTCAAGTTTTCGAGATTGTAAGCTTTGCTGACTTGAGAACATTAATGATTTCAGATTTTCGTGAATCGTTTTCACTCACTCAGCATTTTCTCGGCATTGTTAGCTGAAAATTGAATTGGGTTAACCGTACGTCCTGTTGCGCCGGGTACACCAAGTCTTTCCTCCCGGGTACAACCGGTGAAAAAAAAGGCAGACACTGAAGATGCATGCATCGAAGAATGAGAAATGGGCGATGACTGACAAGTTGGTTGAATTTCATTTGATTTGTTGAAAAAGCTCATAAAATTGTAACTCACAGGCAGGTGGCTTCCGGTCAGTTCGATTTCCTCCATAACAGCGATTACCGGGACATCTGTAGTTGACAAAGCCAGAATTGGTGCACACTGTATTCCGAGGATCTGTAGATTAGCTCAAGTGTACTTAAGAAAGAAACGAAGTGCTGAATATGTACGACTGACGCTTGTAACTAGAACCAGGTGCTTCTTCGTAGAAGTTAATTCCACATGTCTGTATAGATTCGCCCGACACTTTCGACTCGAGGAAATTCGGTTGGGGAGACTCAGAGAGGCGACCGTAAGGACAGCTGACTAGAGCTACCAATAACATAAAATATCTACTTGAGACCATCATGATGTTTCAGTTGAGGAAAAATCTCGTTGATTTGAGCGATGTATTTTTTTTGGAGATGAAGGTGGTCGAACCAAAATGTTTTAATTGGCTTCGGCTTCTTTGGGTGCATTGTTGTATGTTGTAAATAATAGTGCCAGATAAAAAAAATGTGAATACAGCAATCAAAAACAATGTGGCTTGACTCTGCTTGACTGCCATAACTATGAAAAAAGGAAATCTCCCCGACAGACCCGTGCACGCAATTGCACAGCCCTAGTAAAGTAAGGGTGAGCTTGGAAGGTGTACAATTTTAACAAAGAATGTTATGCTATGTTATGATTTCTTTGGAGCGGTGACTCGGCGCCTATCAGCGAACTTAACACAAGCCCCATGAGTTTGCCTGCTGTACATACGCGGCCGGGGCATGCAAAGTGGTGAGACGCTGTCGCATTGCACCGACCGCAGGGAGGCTTGTGGACTGCCCTTCTGGCTCTCACTGGAGGCTTTTAGGCTCACCTGGTCCATTCTTTTTGGACAGATAGGCTGATCTTGACTTCTTGCCCGAACTTCTTACCTTCTCATTTCTGGATCCACACGACCCTGCCTAACCGAAATTCAAGTCGCCTCGGCCATCCAAACGCTAGTTGCCGGCACATGGTCCTGTCATGTCGTAAATCTTCCCGGACGCGACATAGCAAACGCGTGCTGCGTTCATCCTACAGGGTTCAATGTATGTTCAAGTTCACTATCATCGTTTTCACTGAGGGATTATTCCGATGAGAAAGGACGCTTCCTGACAACCAAAAGGGAATTTACCGCCTTAACCTTCTTGAAACTATCTAGCTGAACGCCAGGAAACACCAGCATCCCTTCATACTCGACTCAGGTCAATTTCACAACACATTCCAGTGCACTGAAGTCGAAGGCCATCATTAGTCGATTTCACGAATTTTCCAAGAATCGTGAAAATGCGAATAAAACATCATGAATCAAACACTCTCCCTAAAAACACGAAGCCGCAATAATCATTTGCCCATTTGCGGTTGGTACGGCGACCCTGATGCATAGCCACCGGTTGACACTCTCAGAAAAAGAAAAACAGGAGAAGTTAAATTCTAATGATATCGAGCTCCTGGACAACGAGCCAAGAGATCAAAAGCAACAAAAGAGAAAGTTGCACATAAGGAAGCATTGTCTGGTCTCCAGGATATCCTCCAAGACACCTAATCTATGTATCTAGATGCTGAAGCAGGTGAGCTGGGGTGCCTTGGAAGCAAATCGCGCACGTCTGCAACGGATTCACCGGGTCCCTTGGAGGCGAGAAAGTTTAGTCCGGGTCATGACTCTAGCCTAACTAAGCCTCTCGAACGGAGGGGGGGACCCCGCGTCCCGAAGGGACTCTCCGTAGGAGAGGCTTATGAGGTAGGTCGGATTTGGCGCATGGGCGCTTCGCGTTATTGTGGCTTTTAGCAGCTATTTCTCATTGCACCCTCTATCCAAAGAGAACTAGCCAACATCTGATGAAGCCGTGAAGAAGAAGACTAGCCAGGTATGCTGCCTTGACATTGTTGTCCTCACAATCAGAGTAAAGTGAACGAGCTTGACTGGCCAAGGCATCTTAACCTGAGCTTGGTTGCTCTGAAGCTACATAGTATGTTCCGCCACTTTTATGGGTTTTTGAACCATCTGTGGTAGTATAGAAATATTACAGCTGCCTCGGGAATTTTTGGACGATTTAAGTATACAGGAGTATTCCAAGCCACATAATTATAACCAGACGACATAACAGTTGTGAACTCGAGAAGGGTGACGCTTGAAGTCCCACCTCTTATCCACAACAATTAAGGAAGAAGATCCTGAGTGAAAATTCAACATGTTGCCGAGGGTTAAATCAAAGCAACCCGGTCCAATTTCGAATCGATTGTGGTCGGCCACCGGAGTCAACGTTTACAAGAAGGTTTTTGAAATGAGCGATGAAAATCTGAAGGCCCACATCGCCCACGTTGCTTATAAAAAATATGGTCAATTAGCAAAAGCCCAGCAGATCGAGGCGGTAGCCAACTTGGTCTCTGGTCGTAACACGTTTGTTCTTGCCGGCACCGGATTTGGCAAATCACGCATAGCCGAGATTTACTTTAGTATGCTACCTATGACAAGAAACTCGGTCATTCTCACCTTGAACCCCTTAGATTCTTTAGGCGACAATCAGGTCTTTGAAAAACGTGCGGCAGGATTCTCGGCAATCAACTTGAACAAGTTGAACTTCAACAAAAAAGTCGCCGATGACATATCTAAAGGCGTTTATCAATTCGTTTATTTAAGCCCGGAAATATTCCTCAATAATAAGCTATGGTAGGAAGTATATTTCAGCTCTGAGTTTCAAAACCGGCTTGGTTTGGTTGTGGTTGACGAGGCTCATATGGTGTACATATGGGGCCTTGTACAGAGTCGACCCGGAAGGCATCTAGCTACGATTTTAAGTCGTCTGGAGGACTTTGGGATCTTTCGACCATCATACGGGCATCTCGGTGGACATCTCCTATCTCGAAATGACAAGCCAATGTTGCTTTTGTCTGCTACGTGCCGGCCGGTGGCTGTGGAGGCCATCAAGAAAAGCTTAAAGCTTGAAGACTCAAACGTCGATATCATACGAGCCGAGCTAACTCGACCCGAAATCCGAATTGTTCGTATTCCAATGGAGGGCTCTATGGTCTCTTGTCACGACCTGATTAAAGTCTTCCCCTCGGTTAACGATGTGTCGAGATGATGCCAGTCTGATGGTGCAAAGGGCGTCTGTGGGGCCCATTGGGAAGACTCGGAAAAACAATGAGGCACAAAATCCCCACCAAAGACCCTCAGATGCTCCAGCCAAAAATCCATCATTACATTCAAGTCCCTCCTTCGGAGGCTCGCGCTTCGCGCGAGGGGCGTTTCACGCCAGCCCAGGTCACCAGGCCCTCCGATCGAGGGACTTGTGTTAAGTTAGGTCATGACTCGGATAGAGTTCAGAGCTGAGTGGCGCTATAGGAAAGGCCGCGAAATGCCCACTTCCGCACCACGCATCGTTAGACCACGCATCAAAAAGTCAAAGGACCACCGGACCGAGGGTGGACCCGTGCATGCACATCCACAAGTGCGCCGGGTGTTGATCTGTTGATCAGTTTAAGGGAAAGGCCCTTTTTTGGGGGGGGCGGGGGGCGGGGGGGGTGTTCTTTTGCTAGCGACCACGAGGATTTCCAGAGACACATGCTCCCGAAAGAGGCGATCTTGAGTCGAGTGGAGGACTTCCCGTCGCGATCTAGAGCGCGTTTTAGACCTCTCTCAGTCTTAAATTAAGAAAGCAATTGACATTCCAACCAGCTCATGTGAGAGCTGTTTCTGGAAGGCTTCAGAAAAAAGATTTTTTTTGATAAAAAATTTAGATCTAGGGGGTGTAAAACAACTTCTGGGAGGGTCGTAGATTGCGACGGGAAGTCATCCAGTGATTATTTATAAATCTGTAGTTCTCATCTACTCTAGACCCTAAACTTGTCCTTCCTTGAGTTTTTTTGGTCACTCTCATTCATGACCACGGGTCACTTCTCTCTCTTCGACCCGAAGGAAAGACACATAGCTAGCAGACGGGCTCTTCTATTTACGTGTACCGTTCAGAATATGTACGAGGTTGTGGCAGCTGTTCTCTGTCTAGCTGATTACTGGATGATACGTCTAATATTGAGTGCCATGCGGAAGCTGGGGAAGGGACCCTGGAAATTCATTGTAGGGAGTGCCGGACTTTGGCAGCCGGTCCGCCGTGGGTAAGTCGGTCGCTTGGATGGTTGACTCGAGAGTGTTGTGGTCGTTGTTGAGCCAAGTCTCTGGGTTGGATTCATCCTCAGTTGGCTGGTAATGGTCACCTCCCACCTCCCCCTGCCAGCTGGTTGCCAGGCTTCGGGCTGGTTCGGCTGGACTTGAAGATACCCAACCCCCTTCTTCCAGCCCTCTTTCCCTTCTCCACCACTGATCTAGTTCTCTCCTCCTCGTTCTTTATTCTTCGATTGTACCTATATATGTATCTCATCAAGTTGTTTATGTATCATCAGATTGTATTCTTTCTATCCTATATTACAATCACCCTCCGCCGCTCCGGTTGTGTTCTAGACCGTCTGTTGTATTACTGTATCGTATTATTGTCTGCAGCTCTCTCACTCCAACAAGTCCCTTGGCCAACACACCGATTGCTGTGTTTCTGACTGGGCAAAAACCATCGGCCCATCAAAAACCGGAAAGGGTTCAAACTCAAAACATCCATCATCCCCCACTTCCCCCCACCACCACTTCCCTCCCTCCCTCTCTCCCCTGTTGACCATCATCATCAACCAACCACCCATCAACAACATCAACCCATCCCAAAACGACGATGTCACCACCAACATCAATCTATACAACCATCCACCAACCTACAACTCAGCAGGTCAAGTTGAAGGTCTTGATAGTCGATGACAACCTCCTAAACTTAGTAAGCCATCTCACTCTTCCTACCACCAACATCACTGACCTCTCCACTCTTGTCCCACAGAGAGTCATGAAACAACTCTTGAAAACCAAACTCGCAGATTTCCTCGACCTAGACTCTCTCCAAACCGCCGACTCGGGATTCGAAGCACTCGACCTCTTGCGAAACAATGACTTCCATCTCCTCTTCCTCGATATCTCGATGCCCGGAATATCCGGATTAGAGGTCTGTCGGAGGCTCAGGAACGATAGCAGATATTCATCCTCAAAACTACACATCTGTGCCGTCACAACAGACCTAGCCGACTGGCAGGTATGCAATCCTTCTCTGTCCCCCACTCTCCACACACACACACACACACACACACACATGCTACTTCCGCTGACTCCCCATTCCGAAACCCACAGGTTCAACTGTACAAATCCATAGGCATGGACGGCGTGATCGGCAAACCCCTCAAAAATCTTGATCTCGAGTTCGCTCTGAGAGCCTGTCTGGATTCAGTCCTCTATCAAAATCATCTCGAGACACTCCTCCCACCTGCCTTCTACTTCCGTCGTTATGGCTCCCAACAGCTCCTACCTGATATCTTGCTTTCTCCGATCGACGCTCCCTCTGATCCTGTCGTATCTCTTCACTCCTTGTCTACCATCACCTCCACCGCTCCATTATTAACTTCCTCGATCGGTCTCCAGCCCATTCTGAGTTGTGACGACCAACGCAAGTTTCGACAACAGTCAGTTGTTAGTGATATCAGTGTGGCCGGCGTATTGGCTTATGAAGAACCCTCAACGTTCCGTCGGATCCCTCGGCCGTGCCTCGGTCAACTCGACCTGGTCGACGAGACCCTCATCTCGGCTTGTCGACCATGCTTCGACTCATTCGACACCAGTAGCGCATCAGGCTCCATCATCACTTGCTCCTCCTCAGGCCCCAACTCGGCAACAGCAATTGACCCCTTGAGCCCGTCTTACTGCTCCGAGGATGAGCCCTTCGAGCACTCCAAGCGCTTCCCCGCCTTCCCTACCGCGCCCATCATCACCTCCACTCACGTTCCATTAGGTCTGCGCTCACCCCGGAGGTGGAGCTCGCCATTATATTCGGTCGGCTCACCCTTGGCCGATGCCCAATTGACTCAGGAAGAGAAAGACGTCTTTGCCGCCGGCTTTCAGGCCGCCATGAATAATATGGCCATCGACCAAGCTTGTTCTCAATGGGGCGAAAACTGTCTCTCGGCCACCACCCCCTCTGCAAACGAATCGAGGTATGGTAACTTGGAGCCTGCCCGTTCCTCCACGACACAGAACATGTCCAACTGGGCCGACGAAGATGATGAGGCAGACGAAGAAAGATTAGAGGAGCAGGAGGAAGAGGAGGATGAACAGGACTCGTACCGTTGGGCCCGATTGGCAGGTCCAATCTCCTGTGAAGACACCAAGCTTTCATCTGTGACACGCCAGCTGATCTCCCGGCGGTCGCACCCGATGCTACGTCTCAACAATCTGGACCGAACACGCACCAGTGAAGCAGAGCCAAGGCCGGTCGAGCTCCGGCCCACACCCGAGCCGGATTCACCCTTCATGCGTAAGTCGAAATCCGCGGCCGGACTGCCTATCCGTCCTAGCTGGCAACTCGTCCAACTCAGCGCTATCAATTATCAGTCCGTACTTAAGTCTGGTACGCTTCTCGACGAGGTCCTCTTCGGCTTGGATCTTGAAGATTCCCCTTAATCGTCACTCAAAAAATAATAATAATTTATCACCGCAACCGCTATGTTACTATTAATCAGCCATCCTAATCCATATATATATATATATATATATATACGTCTTCCTCTCTCTCCGTCTTATTGGAAAGCACCATCCTTTTCTGTCTTTTGTTTGATATGGACACCATGTTCTCCCTATTTAAACCCTTCCTGATCCTGTCTACATGAAACACATACACGTAACTTTTCATGGTCTCATTTTTAATGCACACATATATGTACCATAAGGAATCCTCTCTTCTTTCCCATCGGCCTCTCCTTATCTCCACCACCCACTCAACAACGACAACGACGATGGCAATGATCATCCTTCTCCCACTTTCTTCGACTCGCCTATCTAACTCTATAAAATGTGCCATTAATCTTACTCCTTCCTCACCATGCATGTCATTTTTCTACCCACACACACACACATCTATACATACATACACACTGAGTTGGAGCGCTGCCTCACTTGGAAAATCCACCCAAAACAATCCTTCCTGTTTTCTTTCCTACGGCTTGTTAATCAAGCTCTACCCTCTCATCTCTTGTCCTCGCTTCTCTCACAAATACCAAAAAAAAAATGACGATCATCATACACTGCTTGGTCTGCTGTCGGATCTGTTCCATGCTGTTTAGATATCTGTTAATATGTCCCCCCCCCCCTTTTTCCATACATATTTGTCTCTCCCTCTCCAATACTTTCAAAAAAAACAAAAAAAAATCATACATATGTGTGTGTATTTTAGATAAATTGATGCTTCTTCTTCTTCTTTCCTTTGCTTGTTACAATATATATATTTTTTATCTTACTTGTGATTGATATTTTCTTTTTGTATTTTTTTTTGTTTGTTTTTTTGTTTTGCAATCATTACACCCTATATTTACCTCTTTGTTTCCCAGAACAAGATGGGTTTGTTTGTGTGTTTTTCCCTACATAGTACAATTAATATAACATTGATTCAAAAAGGATTATACTTGACTGCTGTTTGATTGACATCTGGTTTTTCTTCTCTTTTTTCTTTCATTGACGTCAATAAGTTCTCATTGTTTTTTTTGTTTCACACTTAGTTTGATTTAATTTTTTTGAACATCAATATGTTTCACACATGTCTCCACCCATGATCAAGGTGACTACATAATGAGATACATACTGAAGTATGCTAATGTACATAGAAATTTACACATCTTCCACAAAAGAAAACCTGATTCACATTTGAAAATCAAACACATGTGAAGCAGTCAGTACCTTGACAGCCACAAAAAGGAGCCCACGCACTAGATCATCCATGTCTTCTGATGGCCATTGACTTATATGTATCTTGCTCCATCAATCTCACTGTGTTGCTCTATCACTCTTCTCATGAAACAACTGGGAGCTTGTTTGAGTTTTGGATTCATTCACAAGGTAAGTGGGGGACTCACTTTGGTGAAAAAAAGGGAGAAGGGAAACACACAAGTTGCTTGTTTACTCATCTGAACTGAGCCCCCTTACATTGGTTTTTCTTCGTTTTTTTCAGCAGGGTGTTGTATCACATTTGTTTTTAATTTGAAATCTTGAGCAGTTTTCTGGCCTTTTTTTGCCACCAAAATTGATGTAGCATTGCGCTTACACTACAGAGTTAGGGTGCTGTTTTGAGGGATGCTAAACTGAAAGCAGTGGGCCATTTAGCGTAGTGTAGCATAGTGGCTTGACAGACTGCGTGTCTTGTTTCTCTGCTTGAGGCTTTGATTTTGTGGGCCTCTCATTCAAGATGGGCTTACCGCACTGAAGAACCTTCAAAACATTGTCTTCTCTGAAGCTCTACAGTAGAGTTTAGATATCATTTGGAAATTACCTTCAACTTCAAGGGCCTCTACTGTAGGGTTCCATCTTCTCCACAAAAATTGGGAAAAATTGAAGAGATCTGGTGTTGAGATTCTTCACTTTCAGTCCAACTACTAGCTTCTAGTTAGGGTCAATTCTGATAATGTGAAATTTTGAGCAAGATAGATTTTGAGAAATTAGATTTTCTGGTCATACACTACAGGCCCTCAATTTGGGCTGGGTGATGAAAATCCAGCTGTGTAAATTTTATGATAAGATGCAACCCTTTTCCAGAATGACAAAAACCTCTATTACTTTGAGCTAATCCCAGAATGTTTGTTGTGTCCAAGTGGACTTTTGGACATATGTAAAATGGTCTAAATTTACCCATCTGCGCATCTGAAATTAAATTTGGATGCACAGCAATGCAAATAAATATAGTCTTACCTGGTGGCTTGGTGTCTTACTAGATGGCTCCAGTCTGCCTCTTTGGTGGGAAATTATCAGACCAGCTCCCAGTTTACCAGTATTCCTGTACCTGCATACTTTTGCTGATTGGGGATGAGGTTAAAAATTGGCCAAAAGGCATGAATCCTAAATCATAAAGCACAAGATCACCAATGGCTTACCAGGCCCACTAGACATTGGTATAGGTATACTGCATAAGCAGATTAGAAATGAATTACATAATGATACTGTTGAAATTTTATGACTCAAGAAGGGAAGACTTTGAGGAAATTTGAGAAAAGGGCTCAAAAAAGGTTGAGGGTCTTTTTTGGGAGAGGTTCACGGAAAATGAGTGAAAGAACCAATGTTTTTTATTGTTGAAATTTTCCCATTTATTCTCTCTCTGCCCTTTTTATTTTTCTAAATCATCATAAATCAGACTAGACTATATTCCTCAAGTATCTTGTTTTTTGTTATTCTGAGCCCCCTTCTGAGTCAAATGTGAACCTTAAGTAAACCAGCCTTTTAAACACTCATGTCTCTAAGATGGATTCTTCTTTTTTCTGACTTTGTGATTGATCTATCAAAGACTGATTATTTAGAATTAACGACTCTATTTATTTGTGGTCTATAACATGTTTTCTTTGATTAACTCATCCGGCCTGTCTAAAAGAGATTGAGAAGACTTTCCCGGTTTGTTTCTTCCAAATACTCATGTTTCTTCCTCTCAGTTCTTTATTCAATATGGCTCTCTTTATTCATTGTCTCTCAACCACAATTTGTCCTCTTGTACTTAGTCTACTTAAACCTAGGCTAGTCACGAGTGAATGAAAACTTATTGGTTCTTTCACTCATTTCTGTGAACTTCTCCCAAAAAAGGCCTTTAACCTTTTTTGTGCCCTTTTCTCAAAAGGTCTTCAACTTCAGCCGGTTTCAAGGCTCAACAATTCAACATTTATTCACTGTAGGAAGCCTAGCTTTAGTAGACTAAATAAAAGTGACCAAAATGTGGTTGAGTGAAATTGAATGAAGAATGGTTTTGGAATAAAAACTGAGAGGAAATAAGTTTATGAGTTCTTGGAAGAAACAACGTGACAGGCCTTCTCAGTCTCTTTTAGTCATGCCAGAAGATTAATCAAGAGAAAACATAAGTTAGACCATGTTGGAATTTCACTCGCTCTCTCTCTCTCTTTCTTACTCAAACCTGTCACTCCTTTTTATGTCACTCATTTTCTATATTCATTATGCATTGTTGTTTGATCCCACAACCTGTGCTCCTTGTATCTAGACTACTTAAACTTACAAGATACAGGGATAATGAACACCATCGGTTCTTAGCTATTTTCTTCCGGTCCTGAGTCGACACATGAGCCTCCTCTCAGCCTTAACTCAAGGCGCACTTAAGCCCGCTTTGTTAAGTTCAAATAGCATCCTACAGACTTTGTCTGCTTTCGGCATTGCCGACTTTTCCCCTCAACGATTATAATTTCATCAGACCACAAATATTGAAAGGCATTAATTCTCAATAATCAGTTTTTAAAGAATCAAATAGTGAAACAGGAAAAGAAAGAAATCAGTCAATAAGCTAGAGTTGTTTGATGAAAATTGCCGCGATGAGTTCTAATTAGACTATGAGATAGCAGAGGATTCAGCACAAAAAACAGCTATGATTAACTATAATTCAGTCTGAGTCAAGATGATTCATGAAAGATAAAAGAGCAAAAGAGGGAGAAAAGAAGAGTGACTTGAAGAAAAAGTAGACCAGAGAAGATGAAAACTCAACAGATACTATTGGTGCATTTGTGTTGCAGATGCACACAGATTGGAAAATCTAACCCGTTTTACACTCAGATACTGGGATGTAATATCAAGCACTCTAAAATTAGCTGCAGGACTCCTTGCATGTCATTCTTTGGGATGTGGTGTGAGCTTTTCTCAACTCACCCCAGATTTTACACACTTATTTAAGTTTTTGATGGGTGTCGGGTGTAAATATCATATTTCTTGTGATAGAATTCAAGACCCCCTCTCTATATTTGTGGCTATTTCACTTTTCTAGAACATTGTTTTTCTTCAGAGTTTCATCGGACTGATTGTTAAGTTCTTAGTGTGATCACAAAATTCAGGATGTTACCCCAATTTGTAGGGGGTTTTATTAACTTGTGGATTGACCTTCTCATTCAATGCAGTGTTGCAGGGCGTGACGTAGTCGATTTTTTGTTAAGCTACCCAACGACGATTTTGAGAAAAGTTACTCACTGTATCTTGCAGGGGCAGCCCAAGAGCATATGGTTTGTGGAGTCCCCGCGACCTCGATGCCAAATTTACAGCTTGCTTGTGCGTGTGTTTTAGCTCGGATGGGCCAAGTCACCGTCTCGCAACCCCCTATTGAGCCGGCTTATTCGCTCCGGGGTGTAGTTACACTACGGGTGCTGGGGTTCGAAACATTTCCGAAGTTCGTTCGGAAATGTTTCGAAAGACGCGCCCGCAGGGGGGGACGTCCTGGACCTTGGTCCAGGTACATTTCGCAATGTGCTCCGAAGGGGATTCCGAGAATCTTTCGAAGACCTTTCGATAGTTGTTCGAAATACTTTCGAAAAAGTTGCGGGATGCCATGATTTCGAAGTCGACTCCGAAGCTAGATTTCGAAATCATTCCGAAAGAGTTTCGAAAGATTTTTGTCATGATCAGGGGTGTCTTGAAATTTTTTTGAACGTTTATGATGCCTGGAGTGGCGGATTGTAAATTGCACTTGGTCAAAAAGACCTGTTCCTCTCACTCGCTTGCTGATCCAACACTGTTTCACTGTAGCATACATACATAAATATATGAACTTGTATTTCGACTGAAGAATTACTTGAGTAACCACAATGAAACAAGACAAAAGCAAGTGTAGAGAGAGAGAACAAAACAACAGCAGATAGAAGATGACTAGATAAGACAAAAGATGGCAGGCAACAAGCATAAAACACACAAAAGTAAGCAACATGATGAGGAAACAAGAGCCGAGGAAAAAAGACAAGAAGTGTATAAACGATCAAGCAAGTTTCGTTTAGATCGCTTGCTGGTGTGTTTGCTACTCGGCTGGGTCACTTACTGTTGGAGGATATGTAGTTACGAAAAATAGAGAGGAGATGACTTTAAGTGGGGTTGAGTGTACTTAACCAAAATCACATTGAGGAGAGAGGAAGTCGTCAGAGGGGGAGAGGAGGGGATAATTCAGGATGAAGAAGCAAGAGGCGACCGACACACCTTGCTCAACAATCGAGCGCTTTAAATACCTTTTCAAAAAAAAAAAATCACACGGTCTGGTTCCTCCAACCGAAAAAGTTTCAAAGCACTTTCGACACTCTTTCGAACCGGTTGGAGGAACCGAAGCATGGTTTGAAAGTTTTACGAAAGATCCACACCTCCCACCAAAAAACTTCCGGAATAACTTCCGAAGTGTTTTTTTAGAGTTCTGATCCGGCAATATCCGCATAAAACCCGGAATTTGACCGGATCAAAATCATAAGTGGAAGACTTCGAAATAGTTTTGAAATCTTTTTCGCAACTTTCGTAAAAGTTTCGAACTTTTTACGAAAGCCGCTTCGAAATCACCAAGTCCATACATTTCGGACATCGTTTCGAAGCAAAACCTTAAAAGCACCCCCGTAGTGTAGTGACGCGGCCGGAGTGAGCCGAGTGTGCGGAGGTACAAATTTTCAAGACTGAGCCGGTGGTTGGTTGCAAGCGACTTTGGGTGTTCAAGGGTAACGCCCATCAGTTGAAACATGAAAGGATGATAGGACGAGTATGTACTCACGAGGCGCATGATTCCACCATGGTGAAGTATCACCGTTGGATGAGATGAGAGATACTGGAATATCCCCTGGGCCGGTGGGCGTAAACACGCCCATCTGCATCAATCACACATCATTGTTATATGGCTTGATCCTTCATAATCATTGGTGACAGAAACTAACTGCAGGAAAGGTATCATCTATGAGTGCATCACTACACCCAGTGGGACTGTCCCTATAGTATAGTCCTGTCTGTTGAACTCTGTTGACCCTCGCGGGTTAAATCTCACCATGTCTCGAGAGTTCTGTTCGCTCCCGATGCGCTGACCCCCTCATCGTTTATTTCCTTCCTCAGAAAAACTTTAGTCACAGTGCCTCGCCGCCAGTTTCCTAGTGACCAGGTTCATCATATTCTCGACATCCCCTCAAACTTCAAGACACTGTGTTATCCCGCCTTTCATAAATCGAAGAGTATCACTTTTTGGATAAAGTCTGCAATCATGAAAATATTACTGCTTGGTTTAACAGCCATAATTTCAATAGCAGGTGGGGCTAAGCTATCTCTGGAGGACGCCTCGAAAGCAGCACTCCATTCCAGCGTGCTGTTTGAGACGCATCGAGCGCCGGCGCGTTTCCAAAAACTCGGTCAACCGCCGCTCAATTCCCACAGTATCACGCTTCAAATTGGTCTGAAGAACACGCGATTTGAAGATTCGATTAGTTCCCTTTTGGAAAGAATGTCTGATCCGAGTCATCCTGAATTTCGAACACATCTGAATGACGAGGAGTTTAACGAATTGATTCAACCAGATGATGAGTCAATTGGGGCAGTTCAAGGCTGGCTCAAGAATCACGGTTTCCAGAATGATCAAATGAAATGGACAGCTCATAAGGATTGGATTAGCTTGGAAAGAGTTCCATTGAATAAGGTAGAGCAAATGCTCAATACGACTTATCATGTTTATCGAGACAAGGGCGGTGAACACGTTATTCGAACTGAGAAATACAGCTTACCAAAGTACCTTCATCGGCACGTTGACTTGATCCAGGTGAGTATTCATCCCTCATCAGCTGATCAGATGATTTTTCATTTTCATGTTAGTCGCCTGTTCTTACATTTTTTTTTCCTCGCGCGCTTTCTCAATCTTGAAGCCTACAACAATGGTGAGTTTCACAAATTCATGGGCGTAATTTCCGCTGAGACGGGGGAAAGCAGCATATGAACCACAATGCGGCAATTCGATGGGTGACTGAATGGTTTGAAACATCCAGTTCGGGAGTTTGCACAAGCAACGATCAAGAGTCAGCAACATATCGCAAATATCGAACATAAGTAACAAGAGGTTTCTGGATAACCTTCCTGATATATGCCCAGGTCCAATACTCGTGACCAATGGTTGCTTGCGCCAGCTCTACAAAACTGAAAGCTATAAAGTGAAGGTGCCAGAGAGGAATATGATTGCTACCACGGGCTACCTCGGAGAGAGTGCAAATTTGGAAGATGCTCAGTTGTTTTTGAAAACACAAAGAGCTGATCAACCGGGTCGATCGTTTGATGTTATACTCGTCAATGGTGGAAGTAACCCACAGGAGTTGAACAAAAAACAGATTGAGAAACAATTAGGCGTAGAAGTGAGTTCTCAGGCGTTTTATGACTGAAATCAAAATTCAGATGCTCTAGAGAAACTAACCAGTAAGCCCTTACACGCGTTGATAGGCCAATCTTGATACCCAAACTGCCCTGGGACTAACCCTTCCAACGCGAAATATTTTTTACTCGGTTGGAGGAAGCCCGCCTTTTATCGCGGACTTGGGTACTCCTCAAAACAACAACGAACCTTTCCTCGAATGGTTGCAGTATTTGTTTGAGCAACCTTTCGACAATATACCTAAGGTTATTAGTTCATCTTGTGAGGCCCCCATTTTTTCACATCTGTCATGTCAAAGGCAGAAAGATAAAATCATAGCTCAGCTCATAGCTTATATGATTTACCAAAACCGCTATCATTGACAAAAATGACTATGTAGATGGAGACGAGGAGCAGTCTGTTCCCCTGAGCTATGCACGTCGAGTTTGTAACGGTTTTGCCGCGCTTAGTGCTCGTGGAGTTTCCTTAATCTTTTCATCGGGTGACTTCGGAGTCGGCGAGAGCGGAACTTGTTATACCAATGACGAGCACGTACGTTTTAACATCTCGGTTGCTACATCCCGACCGCCAGATATTGTACGACTTTGATTTAACAATTTTTTCCGCTACCAATCACGCATCTTGCTAGCGAAAGAAGGTCTTCTTGCCAGTTTTTCCCGCAAGTTGCCCCTAGTAAGTTTCAGCTGTATAGATGCGATAGTTACAGGAAGCCTACAAACAGATGAAAGTAGGATTCAAAAACTCAGTCCGGCCATGCTTCCCTCAATGTTTTCTTTGTGTAGTGTAACCACAGTGGGTGGAACCGAAAATTTTTACCCTGAAGTAGCAGTATCCAAATCCGGGCTGGCTGGTTTCGCAAGTGGCGGCGGGTTTTGTGAGTGCCTGCACCATGAGTTCTGTGGCTATGGGTCTTCACCTTTTTTTCAGGATGTCCGAGTTAACCTGGGTTTTTCTTCATTTACCCCCTGTCTTTTGATCATCAATGTCCTGCGGGATGTTCACTTCCAATATTCAAGCTAACTACTTTGAAAGCCCAGAATGGCAGCGAAATGCAGTGGACCGTTACCTTCGATATCTTGGACCTAACAAATACAAAGGTTTTTATAATCGAACTGGAAGAGCTTATCCTGATGTATCTGCTCAGGGGAGCAGGTACGCCATAGCTTGGCGACAAACCTTCTTGAGTGGTCAGTCATGATTTTTTTCTCCGCACAAAACAGAATTTCCAAAGAAAGAGCTGACACGTCATGAGAGCCTTTGACGTTGCTCCCCGCCAGTCGATGGCACGTCAGCCTCCGCACCGACATTTGCATCAATAATTGCACTGCTTAATGATTATAGCATTTCTCTAGGTGGTCCCACCCTGGGTTATCTCAATCCATGGCTCTATGCTTCCGGTTACAGTGGTCTGAACGACATCACTTTCGGAAGTTCAGGTGGATGTAATACTTCTGGGTTCAAAGCTACCGAAGGCTGGGATCCGTGAGCAGATTTAAACACAACTTACTTGTTTCTCCTACAGATCGTAGAATTCACTTCTGATTCTTCTGTGTTCGATAAATTTAGTGTAACGGGCTTAGGAACCCCAGATTTCAAGAAGTTGCAAGACCTCATTAGACCTTGGAGTTTGGCCATGGCGCAAAAAGCACAGACTTCCCGTACATAGAACAAAGTTATCTGAGTCAATTCCACTGAAACCGAAGGCCGAAGATTCGCGGAAGGCTCAAAGGATATCATAGTTCCTTCACCAATCATGTTCGAGAGACCATTTTATCGCATCAAAAGGATGTCAGGTTGGAATGATATTCCTACTGTGAATATTCTTGTATTTTATTGTGAATTGATTGTTATCCGAAGTCTTTGATTTCATGTGATGTGACACCCCACCCATTAAAATAATCAATCGTGTTGAAGGAATCATTTGAATTCTTACGAACCAATCTGTTACAACTTCACCCAGCCTTGCCGAGGTCCCAAAACATGGCGAGTCTCTCCAATGCCACAATAATTTAATGCCGCAGCGCGGACTACCCCTAACTTGACCCAAGCTCCTCGATTCGTCGGGTCGGATTCTGCTTGTCTGGCGCGAAGCGAGCCTGCAGAGTCATTTCGGGACGCGCCCCCCTCCGTTCGAGACGGTCAGTTCGGACCACCCAACTTTCGGGATCCGGGGGGTTGCTTCGCGGGAGGCGTTTCGTGCCAGCCGGGAATACCATGCCCGATGAATCGAGGGGCTTGTGTTGAGGTAGGGCGAAGCCTGGCGACGAAGCAGAGGACTTCAGTCTAAAGAGTTCTTATCTGCCAAACTGGTGAGAACGAGCGACCTCCATTTTACTTCTCAGCACCGTCCGGCCCAAAATAGTTGGAAAAGACGTGGATTGATAAAACACCTGCTGTCACAATCCCCTCCACGCGGAATGAAGCGGGCAGTGGTAAAATAGGCACCTACCGACTGTCCCCATCTGCACTCCCTCGTGCAGGCATAGGTTATGGAATCAAGGACGACTGGGACGGTATGTAAAAACAGTGGTTATCCCGAAAGCTAGATATTCATAACGCTTTGACGCAAAGAATACAAGAATCTACACAGTCGATTTGCAGTGGCCTTCCCTGCGGATCAATCGAACATGACACACACCGTTTCTAATTGGCAAGTTTTGACTGTAGGCTTGAAGCTTACGACCCGAAGTTGTCGTAAGCAACAAGAATATTCTCCTGCGAGAGTTGTTATGTAGCTGACAGATGCTCGGAGGCTCTCAGCCTTCAGGTCGGTCAAATTTATCCATTGTTATTTTGAGTTGGTGCATATTTCAAGATTCAGCGTCCGGCCCAGCCCAAGTGTACAATTTCACCAGATTCAATCAAATTTACCATACCGAATTAACCCACAGGATAGATGCAAAAAATCAGCTGCAAAACTCAGCCTCATGGCAAAGATGAGCTGAGATTCAGCTTTGAAGTGGTCTGAGCAGTGGTAGTGCGTGGTCGATGGTGAAACTACACATTTCCAACTTCGGTAGAGGGAGCACTGCGCTTGACCCCAGTGCCGATACCACAATCGCCAAGCATGGATCAAGTTGGAACTCCATGTTAAAAGTGCATTGGGAAATCAATATGAATTGCGCTCGTGGATTTCTTCCTCGTGTCTTTCTCCAATTTGCCTCGCGAACAGAAATAATGATGAAGCTACAAACCGAAGCGAGCATCTCCTAGGCCTTACTCGAGGTCTTGGGAATCAAGACCTATCGCCGGCTAAGCTGTTCCGCACCCAATAGTAGAAAATCATGATGGAAGTAGAATTCAATGTGATCCGGACTTCTTGATTCCCCATCCTACTGGCTGGGCGCACCCAAACAGATCTAACCATGTATCTGAGGTCATGAAATCCTTTTTAAACGACACCGATTGGAAAGCCGTGCCCAACCATGTGCCCGTCTAACCACGCATTTTCATGGGATGTACCCGCAAATTGGACACTTCCTCAAACAACATAACCAAGGAAATGACCTTCATAAAAGTACCCTTTCTTCCAGCATCAGTGATCAGGTAGTCCACGCTTGAGAGATTCCCGCACACTCGTCCTTCCCTCCTTTCTGTGAATTTACATCTGTCATTTGGTTAGCAAGAGTACCACTTGCTAACTTCCTCTCATAAATTAAGTCTTATAACTCTTATCGACCGTATTTAATCGACCTACAACCTACTTCCACCCTCTCATTCTTTCATCCGAACACTCACGGGTAAACACCGAAACCACAAGTCCATTTTTCACCACTGGCGCGCTAATTTAGGAACAACCTTTCAATCAACCGGAGGACATCTTTGAAGAAAGAACTCGAATCATCGAATCATGCAAAGAGCTTTGCTGTTAGCTGCCTTGGTAGCTATCCTTCTTGGAGTGGAGGCAGCCAATGTAGACTGGATTAGAACACCGCCTTCGGAACAAGAACCTAGCGCTTTGTTTGAGACTCACCTCGCGCCGGCCACCTTCAGAAAATTACACCAGGCTCCAGGGAATGATCACAGTATGACCCTCCAAATAGGCTTGAGGAACACGCGTTTGGAAAATTCCATTGACGATCTCCTGGAGCGGATGTCAGATCCAGCCCATCCGAAATTCCGACCACATCTCAGTGACAAGGAGTTTGCAGAATTGAGTCAACCCGATGACCAGTCCATCGAAGCCGTCGTAGGGTGGCTCAAAAGCCATGGATTCGAAAACCACCAAATCAAATGGACGGCTCACAAGGATTGGATCAGCTTAGAGAAAGTGCCATTGAAGAAGGTCGAATACATGCTTGACACGAGTTACTCGGTATACCAACATCACGATGGTGAACATTTGATCCGGACTGAGAAGTACAGTCTACCAAGAAACCTTCATCAGCACATTGAGTTGATCCAGGTAAGCATTTTCATTTCCTATTCACGGTGCTGTAAAGGACTTGAAACCGAGATATTGATTCCGTTTATGACCTGTTTGCTAACTGTGGTTCTCAAACTCGTTCTGGTACTGCCGTTTAGCCCACCACTATGGTACGCGTGCTTTTGTCACCAAAATCCGACGCCGCTGCTACAACTAATTTCTTTTTATCTGTTGCGGGTTCCAATTTGTAGTTCGGTCGCTTACAAAAACAGCGCTCCTCAGTAACAGTCATCGAGGAGCTGCCGTCCGCGAAAAACAAAGTGTTAATCAATCCCAATATCCCTAATACATGTTCCGACCCGTCTAGTGTAACGAATGATTGCTTGCGTCAGCTTTACAAGACCGATGGCTATCAGGTCCAAGCTTCTGAGTCCAACATGATTGGTATCACCGGATATCTTGAGGAAGTTGCCAACTTCAAAGATGCTGAAATGTTTTTGAAAACTCAAAGACGCGACCAGGTCGGTGGAAAATTTGAGGTCGTGACCGTCAACAACGGCAAAGACTACCAAGACTTAGACCAAGATCAAATCGATCGTCAGCTCGGTGTAGAGGTAAGCTTTTCATCCTTAGGCTCCTGATCAGCTACACCAATTAACAGGCGTGGTACATGTGCACAGGCGAATCTTGACACCCAAACTACTCTCGGGTTCACTTTACCAACACGCAACATCTTTTGGTCCGTCGGTGGAAGCCCGCCTTTTAACCCTGATTTGACCACCCCCTACAACACGAATGAGCCGTACCTTGAGTGGTTAACCTACATCCTTGGCCAACCACAGGCCCAAATTCCCAAAGTTATTACTACTTCATGTGCGGGGTGTTTCCTTATTTTTTTTCTTCGTCCGAACATGCCACAATCCACTCACATTCCATTACAATTTACAACCATACAGATGGCGACAACGAGCAAACTGTTCCGCTCAGCTACGCGCGCCGAGTTTGTAAAGGCTTTGCAGCTTTAGGAGCTCGGGGAGTTTCGGTAATCTTCTCCTCAGGTGACTTTGGTGTGGGTAAAACTGGGTTTTGTTACGCCAATGATGGGCAGGTAAGCGTCAATTCCAGGGTCTAGTTTCTCGGGTATCACGAATTTCTTGATGACGAGAGCCATGCCCTTCCCTTAGCAAAAACAAACTTTTCTGCCAACTTTCCCAGCAACTTGCCCTTAGTAAGTTTTAACAGTTTCCCTGGCCTATTGTATGGCGTTGTTGACGCATCGTGATTCGCGCTTATTCTGTATCTCTGATTCTGGTAGCGTCACATCAGTTGGTGCTACCGAAAACTTTTTCCCCGAAGTGGCTGTTTCCGAGGGTGGGCCTGGAGGGTTCAACAGTGGAGGCGGTTTTTGTGAGTGACTTCACAGCCATCTGCTTGACAGCCCTGTAGCCTCATGCGTATTAGCTGACGCGGAGTCTGAATTTTTCGTCTCCATTGCAATCCTACTCAGCCAACTACTTCGCAACACCCAAATGGCAGAAGAACCAAGTCCAGCGTTACCTCAACTACTTGGGACCCCAAACTTACAATGGTCTTTACAATCGAACCGGCCGAGGCTTTCCCGATGTCTCTGCTCAGGGGGCTAAGTACGTTATCGCTTGGCAGCAGTCATTCTTAACCGGTGAGCTTTTTCGTGTGAGGTATTCACATACCGCTGCGTCATTCAAGAAGCACTTACGATTTTAAACATCGACAGTTGGAGGCACATCCGCATCTGCACCCACTTTCGCCTCAATCATTGCCCTGCTTAACGACTACAGCATGTCCTTGGGTGGTCCTTCGCTGGGCTACCTTAACCCATGGCTGTATAGCGAAGGATACCGCGGATTGAATGATGTCATCGGAGGAAGCTCCAGTGGGTGCAATACCACTGGATTCGCAGCCATCCGAGGCTGGGACCCGTGAGTCTCAAAGTTCCTCGGTTGATTTGCACACAATCTTGTTGACATTTGCTAATCCTGCTCTGCTCGCGCACTGTTTCACCACGCACTCCAGGGTAACCGGCTTGGGAACCCCGAATTTTCGCAAGTTGCAGCGTCTTATCCAACCCTGGAGTATGGCAATGGCACAGCAAAACTCTAGGTTCTAAGTTCTTGAATACCTCTGAATGTAACAGAAATCCTTAACCGCCTGAAGATCTGTTTCAATCATAATCCTACTTCATTCCCATCCGTTTGTCTGTCAGCAAGTAGTTACTTTTATCATGTCTCTGGGCATAAACAAATATCAACCCCCGTCTAGGTGAACCCAAGAACATTAAACTTTCAATGCGCGACAATTTCCATAACAATCACATTCACTTATTTTGCTCTTACGTTCCCTATTAATTTATCCGCACACCTCCTCACATCCATCCACATATTTATATTTCTTGTGAATTGTTATTCTGTTTTAAACTGTGATTTGCTTGAACCGATGACATTTGATTTAACTCCTCGTGGACAGACCCTCTATCTCTAGACAAAAAATTTGCCTTTGAGCAGTTTTTTCTGCTGAGATCCAATCAATGTCACTCACAGAGTGAGAAAATACAATTAGTAATAGCAGAAGGTATGAAATAACGCCGATATTGTCGTCCACACCCTTTTTATTTTTAAAATCAAATGCACGCACAGTTGGGTAGATAGAAGGACTGTTCCCCAGTTGGACAAAGCCCACGTCTCAGTCAACGCACTTGTGGTCGAATCATCTACGAGCTGTATCATCCCACTTCAGGGCTTTAGGCTGGGCATCGATAAAGCATTCTCAGTCTCTAAAATAGACCCTGGACAAGTACATAGCACTTGTCTTTGAGGTATACTGCCGCTTTAAATGAAATTACGGAGCAATGAATTGTATACTCCCTAGTTCTTATTCATTTTCGTTGCAACTTGATAGACAGAGCTTGCATGTAGTGAAACAAGCAACACTTCAAATTTCAACTCCTTCCTAAACCCATGTGAGCAAATATATTCAATTCCATGGATAGTTCAGCATCTCACTTTTGTTTTGCTCATTTGGTCTCATCTCTCTAGCTCAGTCCACTTAGTCGCATCTTTTCAGACTATAGCCGCCGGTGGTCTGACTGGTACTGCAGTCTTCAGCATTAAACAGTTGATTGCTCAATAGCGTTTTCAGCTATCGGCATTTTTCGAATCATTGATTCGCAGTGAGATCGCCAAGGAATCTGCTCCAGCTGGTCTAGGGCAGGCATGCATAGTGATCTACACACCGCCTCAACATACTTTGCCATAAAAAATCGTAATCGAAGGCAGTTGGTCCGGGCCGAAGTTTTTCCGTTGAAAAAACCAATAAAACCCACCGAAACATGCTCAGCGACCTAGTGCGGTGTGCTGTGATTGAATGCTGGTTCTCCAGCAACAAAGCGTATCGAAGTCGTCGTTGCGACGTTTTGTAGACAATATCGGCCAAACATTAAGCACCGCAGTCTCGATGACTATAATTTGCCAAGTACCTTCATTCGAAATAATGTTTCGAAATGGGGGAGGGCGAGATGTCGGCATCTGCTACGGGCGCCGTTTGTCCCACTGGGACTCTTGTATCGTAAGGCTACAGTACAGATATAGTCTGAACAAGTATCCTGCTCAAGTGCTTCACAACTCCGCTTCGCATAGAAATAAACTGTCGGCTGGAAGTTGAACCCACCCAGGCCCGCCTTTTGAGATGTTTTTGAATTTCAATCCCCTTGCCAAACCAGCAATGTGGAGCTTTGTCTACGTGATTCCCTTGGCTCGTTCGAGTCCCATGCTTCCAGACTCAGCAGACAGTCGTGTTTTTGGGACTGGCATTGATACAATTCAAAGGGTTTTTGAAAACGATCATTACAAGTTGTTACCCAGTGGAGGACTGATCAGCCGAGAACACCCCTTGGCAGATAAACCGTTCAGCCACCAATCAGACTTCTCTGGCATTGAAGCCCACCGAATGAAGCTTAATGGGCACATAAGCTACCAAGGTGAGATAGATCAAGTTGATATTCATGATCCTTTTTTATTGAAGTCGTATGTCTCTCAGTTGACAACTTTCGATGTGCGCAGAAGCTTTGAATTCTGAATCCACTTTAGCGCAAAATCGTAGAAAACGGAAAAAGGCAGATCAAAATTATGATAGTGTCACTAGTTCGCGAGCGTATCTTCATCCCAAGGATTTGGCCACTGGGGCAACTCAAAATGAGATGTATGTCTCTCCTGGACCTGAAGGTGAGGAAATGGATACAAGCAGATGAAAAGCACATGGCAAAGTTATTGGATGGTTTTCTTTAACTAATATCTGTTCCCCTTGTTGTTTCCAGCCATTAAACCAATTAAACTATTTGGTGTTTTTTTGAGTCATGTTAAAAAACAATATCACGATATCGATGAGAGTGATTGTTTGAACAATATGAACGATTCTGCCAAGCAGAAAAATCATTATGGGGCCCAGCATCAGGAAGAGCCAAGCCTAGAAGAAATCCAAAATGGAGAACCAAAGAGTAGGAGAAATGAATTGTCCTCCCCAGGTGATATGTTAGAGTGCAAAGAGAAGGATCATCTACTGGATGAATTCTTTGATGATGACTTCTTAAGTGGATTTACCCAAATGTTCCAAAGGAAAACATTGGAAATATCACGAGCTACAAACAGGAAGTCTACCAGTGAGCATTCATCAATCAGAGGGTTGCCAGTCAAGATAATGCATCACGAAGGTCAGGATTTACATTTAATAAGTGTTTTGAAAAATCAGAAAGATGGCATTGGAATAGAAAAAATCAAATCATTTCAAACACCCAGAAAACTTTCATATATTTTCAAAAATTTGATCAAGTGGCTTATTTTCATAAATACTTCAGTCTTAATTAACTTTAACCCAAAAGAAAGAGTTTTTGAACAAGAATATAAATCTCACAATAAGATAGTTTCTTGGCTCTTTGATGAATCTTTCCAACCTTCAACTGGTTTTCCTGTTTGTGGCTTCATTGAATGTATTGATGACCTTGGGAAAGGGAGTGAATTTGGACCAATCCAATTAATTTTGATAGATCATCTATCACAAGAAACAATCAGGCTCCATGAATCAATGATGACCTCCTTGAAATTAATAAAATTTTATTATGAAACGTTTGAACCCACCATCTGGAATTGGCTTATAGCTCTTGATGGGAATAGCTCTCTGGATAGTTCATTGAAAACTCTTGTAAAAAAAACAATCCAATCAGGAGCCAGAATCCACCAAGCTTCATCAAAATCTTTTGGATATTTTCCCATTCTTCCACTTCAAAAATTCCCAAAGAATTTCAAACCATTGAAAAGTAGTTCTATTATAATAGGGTTTGATATAGATGATGAAATCATTATGAAGAAGGTGAGGAGCATAGTCTTATTGAAGAAAAGGTGTTGGAATTCTGTCGTCTCTCTCTCATTTCTCCTTCTTTCCTCCCTTTCACACCAATGTCACTCCTTTCCCTTCCGGATGAATATGCACTCTTTTCACCTTCTGTCCCACAACTCAACCAAAATTTGTATGTAGATAAATTAGCCATACCATGAGTTTGAATATGAAAAGCATCAGTTCTTCTGCGTCTGTTCCCTGAGGTCACTCATACAACCTCTTGTAGTGGGATTGCTTTTCCGACCCACAAGCTAGCAGCCTGTAAAAGCCCTCAAAGAGGGCTTCTTGACCTTGTTCTTTCACTCATCAGAGTTTTTTGTCACCGGTCACTTCTCCCCCTTCTCAGTTCTTGTCGTGAAATTTCATCACGATTAACAGTCGAAATTCGACCTCAACCCATCATCAATTATCCTCCCCAACCCCTCCACTCATCCAAATCAATCCCATCATGTCAAACTCTCGAAACCCTCCCATTCTTCTCAACGACTCCAACTATTCCACTTGGTCTTTTCTCATGGTAGCAAAATTGAGCAAACTTGACGCTCTCGATGTTGTTCTAGGAACCGTCAAGAAACCGAAGCTGGAAGATCCGGAAAAACCAACAAAAGAAGCACTTGCGTATGAGGAAATCAATCGGATTGCGTACATTGAAATCATCGAACATCTGGACAACCATCACTTGGCTTACGTGTCCCAAATACTAATCAACGAAACCTCGTTCTGCGGCTTCTCTGTCTGGCAGATCCTGAAGAAAAAATACGCCGGTGACGACTTTGTAGCGAAGGATTTAGCTCTCGAGAAGTTCCTTGATCTCGACTATCACGGATCCACGATCGACTTCATCTCCGAAGTCCGCGCTGCCAATCAAAAACTCATATCGTCCAAGATTGGTCTCGACGATCAAGTCAAGAACGCAATCATCCTTCGCAAGCTCCCCTCCGAATTTCAATCGCTAAAAACTGTTCTCAGCATCGGCTGCTCAAGCGATACCGTAGCCATGATGTTGAACCGACTCGAACGACACGCAGCTCAAAACCACCTCAACCGCTCCTCGTCGATTCCCTCTCCACAAGCGCTTCTGACCACCGATGATAAGTATTATCTCTGCCCCCATTGCAAGAAGGGATTCACTATCTGCTCCCACTGTGACAAGGCTGGTCATCGAGAATCGATCTGTTTTGAAAAACATCCTGAACGACGTCCATCAAAGTCTTCAGCTACCTCATCTGTTTCAAAACCCGCCGCAACAGCCCAGGCTCATCTTGCGTACACTGTTCCTCACGGCTTCACTCCTGAGCAAGTTGAAAGCGAACGAAACTTTCAAGCGATGCTAGCGAACCCTGAATTCAAGAAACTGAACATCAACGCTGAACATCGATTGTAGGTTCTGTGGTTCATCAGTTGGGGGGGGTGTTGGAATTCTGTCGTCTCTCTCTCATTTCTCCTTCTTTCCTCCCTTTCACACCAATGTCACTCCTTTCCCTTCCGGATGAATATGCACTCTTTTCACCTTCTGTCCCACAACTCAACCAAAATTTGTATGTAGATAAATTAGCCATACCATGAGTTTGAATATGAAAAGCATCAGTTCTTCTGCGTCTGTTCCCTGAGGTCACTCATACAACCTCTTGTAGTGGGATTGCTTTTCCGACCCACAAGCTAGCAGCCTGTAAAAGCCCTCAAAGAGGGCTTCTTGACCTTGTTCTTTCACTCATCAGAGTTTTTTGTCACCGGTCACTTCTCCCCCTTCTCAGTTCTTGTCGTGAAATTTCATCAAAAGGATTTTTGTCACAATAGAAGACAAAAGACTCCCATTTGTAGCCAAGATTTATCAGAAAAACCAGCAAGGCTTGACCGGGTTTTCTTGGATAAATTTCAAGACTGGAGAGACTGTTTTCAAGGATCGGATGGTTGAAAAGCTAAGAACATTGCTCACAAACTTGAGATTCTACTATTCATATTTTGAGAGATACGTAAAAGAAAATAGCAATCAAGGAAAGATTCAAATCCAAGAAGAGAAACTCTTTGAATGGCTCCATGATATTTTATTAAAAAATGAAGACAATGAAATACCAATACTTGGAAGATTTGTGTTGAAAAACAAGAAGAGCTCTGATCTAGAAGATCTCTGCACTCTGTATTTTTCTGAACCTCAATTATTTATGATTGATTTTCTTAGTGATTCAAAATCTTTTGAAAGGTCTCACCAAGCAGCTCTGTTTTTGATTGGTTATTGGTTTAAAAATACATCAAATGAGCGTTTTTGTGAACTATTTGGAGATGAGTCTGGCTATTGGAATACTATGATCACACTCCTCTCTGATTATTGAGCTCCCCCCCCCCCCCCAAAGTATTACAAGCAATCTGATATGTTATTTTGAAGACTCTGCTTTTCAGAAATCTCATTTATAGTCATTTGGTTTGAAGAAATCAATTTAACAATTGTCATCTTATTCTGAGCTTCACAGAACATACATGAATTCATTGTTTCAATTTTCAAAAACATACATGCTCCACTGTTTTTCATACCCCATATGCTAACAATTATTATCTCAACTATCCCCAACACTCCACTCAATTCTTGCTTCTCTTATCCTAATGATAGTCTCTTGGCTTAATTTTCCTATCCTATGGCATCTTGTTTTGTCTGGTGTTGGCTCCTTTTGAGCTTTTAGGCAAAACATAAATCTGGAATTCAATTCCTTTTACCATATCAGCACATTAATCCAATGTTGATTTGAAGAAACTGGGGATTTTTTGCCAGAAGGAGGGGAAAGGAACCAGGGATTGAAAATTAGAGACTAGAATCTGACCAAAACAAGAGGTTGAGAGCCCAAAAAAGGGCTAGGTAGCTGTTAGCTTGTGTGGTGGAAAAAACCTCACACTAAAGTAGGCTGTATCAGACCTAAGGGGAAAGTTTGCAGACAACTGATGTCTGTGGTACTGTTAACAACTAAGGGATGGGTTGTGGACAGAAAGTGACAAGCATATTCAATCTGGAGGAGAAATGAATTAGTGGCATGAGATGGGATGAGTGACAGGTAATGATAAGATGAGAATTAGAGCAGAAGATGGCAGTATTTCAACATGCTTTCCTTAATATCATTATCAAGTCAATTTATCAACTTAAAATGATGGCAAATTCTGCTTCCTGTGGTTTGGACCAAGTAGTGTCAGAGTTTGAAGATAGACAACATCAGAAATTTGTCAGGTCTGGGGGTGAGCTTGCAGCATGTGAAGTCATGCACTTGGACAAGTACTGGAGCACTTCCCATCAGTATTTGTAGCCCCTTCAGAATCAGATTGGGACCCACTGAAGTCAGATTACACAGAGAAATCTGATGCAAGGGCAAATCTGGGTTTGTGGGGGCTACAGAACCGGCAGGAAGTCCTCCTGTATGTCATGTGGTTAAGCAGATTTGACTGTTTTGGTAAAAAACCTACCCTACAGTTGCGGACGGCAAAAACCAACCCTGGATTTTGAGGATGTCCGAATGGTCGAGCCAAAAATTCAGATTTTTTTTTTTTAAATTTCAGCCTTTTGAGCTGTTTGTAGCCTCCAGATCATAGAAAAAATACACTAGAATAGAAGATTAACAGTGAAAGTAGATGTCGAGGGTGTACAAGTAGTATAAAACCATGATTATTTATAACTTAAAGCCATAACTATGGGTTTAAGTATTGCTTAATCTGTGATTGTCCGATTATCTGTATGTGGAAATGAAAAAAAAAATTGAACCACTCACTCAAAAGCTTAGTGCTTACAATTTTGAACTCTACACATCTGTAGGGGTTCAAAATTGTAATAAAATTAAGTGTCGGGGCACATGCCCGGGGCATAGGCCCCGCGTGTCCAATTTGGATTTTGCGGGCGGGGCATGGTCGGTCTATGCCATACGCAACTGTACTTACAAGATGTGCACCATCATCTATCTATTTATAAATTTCATATGTAGACTTGAAAAAAAAACTTTTACAAAATTGATTACCAAAAAAAGAAAGAAAAAAAGAGCCAAAAAAAGGAAACATGTGTGTATATAAGACATTTTTTTGTTCTGGTTCATGGTTCTTGTTAATGTTGTAAAGGAAGAAATGAGAGAGAAATGACTCTGGCCAAGGGACAAGAAATTCAAAAGAAAAAAAAAGAAAACGTTAAGAGAAGAGAAAGAAAATATGTGACATGTGATCAATTTTGTTCAAAAAAAGGCTGGAGAGAGATGAGCAAGAACTCAGTGTGAAGAGGGAGAAGGAAGAAGAGAATAGGCAAGCCCGCCCAGAATTTCATATACTTTTTTTTTCTCTTTCAATTTGAAGCAATGATAATGATTTCACCAAGCGGCTCTCCACAAAGAGCCGGGGTCGATGAAGCTAGCAGCCGCACTACCGGCCCCATTCTGCTGATCATCGTGTTGATAACTCGTCTTAGAAGAGCCGCCCGATCCCGAAAGATCGTTCTGGATTTGTTTATGGACGAAGCAGAGATAATCGACACTATGTACCAACAAAAAAAAATCAGAAATCAAATCAGCGGGGACAAGCTCTATATGAGAGAGAGGCTTAAAAGCAATGAGTAACGCACTAAGACATGGCATCATTATTTTGATCTTCGACCAATAGATTGGCAAATTCGAACTCGGTCGAGTCGAGGGATTGACGCGAGACGAGTAGCGGTAAGGAGCGGTCACCGCGTCTGAGGTCGAAGAACTTCAACAATCGTCGGACTTTGATCGAGAGAGGCGTGTTCAGCTTGGGCAGTCTGGCCGAAAAGAGCTTCGGGTCTAGCCCTTCTAGACTTGTCACTCCAAACAATCCTTCCAAT